TAGAATGATGAAACCAAAAAGAACCACGTGCTACTTAGCCAGTTACTTAAATTTATTTTTATTTCTTTATTTTTTTTCAGAACCAGGGATTGAACTCAGGCCCTTGTGCTTGCTGGGCAAGCACTTATTTTACTGAGCTATCTCCCCAGCCCTCAAATTTATTTTTAAAAAATAATATTTAATATAAATCTCTCAGATAGGGCCATACAATGTCTATGGTCCTGAGCATATAGCAGAGGAAAAAATAGATATTAATACATCACTACAACAACACAGGAGGAGCATTTAACAGGAAAGTCTCCTATGTAGAGCTCTATGTGTCTTGGGCAGGAGAACTTGTTCTGTGATCTAGTTATTCTTCAGCACCTTATAATGGCTGCCATATTAATATGCATTTGGTAAGTAATAATAGTCATTACTGTTAAGACCTTTGATACATGTTTCTGCACGAGCACACAAATGTGCCCTAAAGCTGCACCACTGGTAGTTGTTGAAGCCAGAGTTTGAACCTAATCTATTGATAGCAGTGTATACAGTTGTCATTGCCTATGAGCTTACTGGGGTCCTTGCTTGGTCCCTTACTGTTTCACTTACTACTCACAAACTCTGTGGAATGACAGTATTATCCCTTTAAACTGATGAGGGTTTTGAGCTCCAGAGTCTGTAAGTGACTTGCCCATGATCACCTGCTGCATCTTCCTCCTTCAAACCCTCAACTGCTCTGTGCTCAAATCTGTTACTCTTCACACCCCTTGTACTGGTGGTTCCTGGGTATCCTTGGCTGCCTACAAGGGAAATGTTCAGTTTATTAACTTACTAGGTCTCCAAGTGCCAAGCAATCTGTTTGGATGATTTTTTCTCCCTACAGAATTGACTAATTTGTTTTACAGAATTGACCACATTGGCCAGTCATTTTAATGGTAAATTAAATTATGCTTGTTCATTTTTTTTTCTTTAACTAAGTCTCCAGCTGCCAGGAACCTGCCCACATGTTAAGGGTGAGACATACCTAAATTGTTGTCAAGGGCCAGACACTTAGTAATTAGGAAGTCTTAGACATGTACTTAACTTCTCTATGAGTCTGTTACCTTGTTAATGGAAATGAGATGATCCCATTGCTGCCTAATCTGGTTAGTGACATGATTGAGAGAAGTAACTATTCAGCTCCTAACACAAGGCTTGATCTTTAAGGAATTTTGTTATGTAGTAGCTGCTGTTATTGCATTTATCATTGCTAATGTTGACCATAACATTTAATTTCAACATTGTCTTTGTTCTAAAGCCTTCACTGACCTCCTTAACCTGGATCATTTAATTCCTTCAAAGGAAAGCAGAATAAATTACTTGTTCCTCATTGGATAATGTTCTTTCCTTATGGAGCTTAAATTGCATTATAAAAATCGGCTCAAGTCTCTTATTCCCTATCCTTTATTCTAATTATAGGCACTTTTAATTTAAGTTCATTCATCTTTTCACTACCAACCTTTCATTGTGCCTCACACATCAGTGCTCCAGGGAGGTTGTTGAATTGAATGAATAGGTCAAATGACTATTCAGAGTGAGTGACAAGGTCCATGCTTGTTGGTATGTCATTGCAAATGCCATTGATGGCATTGCCTTAGTTTTCATGTGTAAAGACAATAGAGTCTTGACCTAGATGTCTTGCTTTCTATAAAGATTTTCACTATCTATATGAAATCTGTTTTAATTTGTACTTTTTTCATGGCTTGCTAGTGCTATATTATATCCCCTTATCTTCTGCCATCCCTGCCATAGGGCTTTGTGAAAAGACTTACTTTCATTTAAACTTGTATTTCCCACATTATTTTAAGGTATACATTGTACTCTTCCCCCCTTCATGAATGCATTACCATTTTACTCTATCATTATGCTGTCAATCTGAAAAGCCCTTGAGAAAGAAAGAGAGTCCTTAATTTAAATAGGCCTGATACTTTGCTAAAGAGGTGAGTGCACTATCTACAATTCTATTCTTGTCAAGAATAGGCCTTTGAAATTTTGAAGTGAGGAAATGAAATTTAGAATAGCTACCAAACCATGAAGCATCCAGGAATAATAAAAGAATTAGAAAAGAGAAAACAGTAAAAATTCAGATATCATAAATTGGATAAAACTCAGTACAGGGTTCTGGAGAAGGTCTTATTTTGAAATAACTTGGTTTTCTATAAGAGATGTCTCAAATGGTCAGACTGAGTTAAAAGATATGGAATTCTCCCTAAGGAAAAAAAATTGCTGTTAAAGGCCTCTGAAGGTCAGGTCTTAGTGGTCATGAAGAACATTTTTTGTTTGATTTTTTTTTAGTTTGAATTTTTTATAAAGGTGATAGAGATTAGAACACCATCTGAATGAGAGTAGGAAAGGGGGAAACTTAGTAACCATTCCCAGATAAATATTTTGCAAATGATGGTGAGAGTTTGTTCCTCTGTTTCCAATGAAGTTTGGATGAGACAATTCACTTGAAGGAAAGCAAGAGAGATTTGTGTTCCTTTGTATTCAAGGAACATCCTATTTCTGAGATCCTTGAAAATGTTACTAAGCAGGGCAGGATTTGTCCCACAAATAAGGATGGAGAGTTTTCCAAGATTCTACATCTTTAGGAAGGGTTTTTGGGGACAGCACTGCCACAGTCCCAATTACTCTCTAGGATAATCTGACCAGATTCACAAAGAAAGCATATAGAATTTCATGGACTTCTGACTTTACATAAAAAGGTGGGTGGCAAGCAGGCAGGGGAATAAATCAGTTCTTTTGCAGATGGGAGCTCAGACCAGCCCATTTGCTTCATAATTGTATGAATGCCATAGCAAATGATGAACTGCAGTTAACTTCTTTTGCCAACTATACAAAGAATTTGTACTTTTGCTTAAAACTGAGTAATATTTAATGTGAAGGAATTGATTACGTTAAAGTTTCATATTGGAGATATTACTTACAGACAGCAATCATGGTGGGGAAAAATTGTTTAAGCTGCTTCCCCGAAAATCTCAATCAACTGATGCTAGCTTTTGCTTCACAAAACTTTGATATATGTCCCTTGACCTTTACCAACTACCCTTTCACGTTTGACACTTAACATTTGCTACATGATTAAAATTCAGCGTTAATTAATTTCAACATTATCAGTTAAGTTATATTTAGCTAAGAACACTCACTTTTGTCTTTTGTGAGTAGCATAGCAGTATTATTACAAAGAGGTAGTCAGGAGGGCAACAGAGATAGGAGAAGAGAAGAATGATTCAGTGTGTAGATAATTGTTTCGAGTGAAATTTAGCTTGGTATTTTTGTTCCTGTCCTCAGTAGAACTGAGATTTAGCACCTCCCGCTGGCATTTAGCCTCCACCCCCTCATAGAAGGAGGCTGTGCTATGTAGATGTTGAGAATGAACCACACCAGAATGAAATTATAGCACAGTTCTAACACTGGCAGGAGTTTTCTCTGGCCAGCTCTTGGGTACAAACCTAATAATCCCCAAAAGAGAGGCAAAAGCATTGCTAGAAAAGTTTCCATATTAAGTGGCATCCTCATTGATGAAAGAGGTTGACTTGATTGTATAAATGGCATGCCACCAAAGTAGTGACCATTCCCCAAGTAAAAAGTGAAAGCCACAATGTTTCACCATAGCAGAGTTAGAGTTCAAAAACATCATCCAGGAAGTTGTTTTACTAATGACTTATTCCATAGTGTGACCAAAAAGTGCTTTAGAAATAGTTAAAACCCAAGAAACTTGACCTTTTCCCCTGAGTTTGCCAACTGAGAAACATTTTTTATTAGCTTTTCTATGCCATGCTTTTTTTTTCTTTTGATAAGAATGTGGATAGGAAACTATTGCTTTTACCTAAACCTCAACTTGCTGTAGAATCATTATGTTCTTTGGGATGCTGGCACAAAATTGTGGCCCATAAGTTTATTTTGTCAGTGAAATACTTCTTTCTCTTTCATGCCCATACAGAACAGTGAGAGAGAGGCTTTCCAATTGGTTGGTAGAGCAGATAAAACCCAATTTATATGTCCATGTAAGGCTTACTGAAAGATATTGGTTTCCTTATGACAGTTTATCAGGTGTTCCCTCAGTTGTATACACAAAACAAAATTTGTAAGCATTTTCATTTGCATATCATGAAGTCTTTTTCAATCAGTAATTCAACTTTTAAGTTCCAGAATCTGGCTCCGTGCCCTCAGCACATCCCCTACCTACAGAGGAGGGAGTTGAATCTTTGGCAAATTTTGTTTTCCTGTCCATATATGCATATGTTAGACCATGTGAAAACCAAATCAGAACTCTAAGATGAAGTCTCTGGATTTCTCTTAGTTATTTTTGTGTCCCCATCCCATGACAGTTTGAGCTCTGTTTCAAAACCTAGTATGGTGCTTATACCTTTACTGCCACTGAAAACATCCCTGATTTAACCTGCCTGCTCTAGCCTCTGATCTGGGCTTCCTCTGGTTTCCCTTCACCTGGCTCTGCGCATATGCTTGTCCCAGTAATGTTCTGTCTTCCCACTTCTGTTAGTATCTGGGCCTTCTGGCCATTCTTGCTCACTTTTCACCCTGGACTGACTCTCTCATGGTCCGGATTTACTCATACCACTAAACCCCACCCACTGCACCTGAGCTGTAGTTGAGCTTGGCCAATCCTTGCCATATGAGGAAATTCAGGAGGAAGCTGAGCTCTGATATCACAGGATACCATACATAAATAAAATGGGCAAGTCATCAGCTACTTGTATTAAGGAGCACATAACTTCTCTTTTAAAGAGTGGGAAGATTTTATACAAGTATAGCTTTCTAGTCCTTGACTCTTTTCACTCTCATTTGGCTTCACTGAAGGGATAAGAGGATATAGTCACTTCAAACATTTATTTTCAAATGAAAAATATACATATTTATCTTCAGTGTTAACTAAATATGTAACTATCCATAAAACTTGAGCTTGATAATGATTTTATTTTGTAAATTGTTTTTCTCTGTTTTTCCATTTTAAGGTGTTACATAACGGCCTCGTCATGGAGATGAACCATCCAACAGTAGGGAAGATTTCAGTCCCAGGTTTGAAAATTTTTGTTATTTTTCTTGACACTTTTCTTCATTAATTGTTTCATTTGTTATCTGCTGCATGTGGGTGCTAATTCTCCCAAACAACATATCAAGCTATTGTCAAAATTTACAGTTTGAATTGAAAAGGGATGGTAGGAACATGGTTGTAAAAGAGAAGGCTGAGTCTACAGGGCTATGTCTTAGCTCTAAAGAATGTCTAATTTCCTCAGTGACAAAACATATTTACATTTTCTCATTCCATTTTGTGTCATTTTATATACCCAGAAGTGTACAACATATTGTATCAAATGAATAATAATAAATGACAAAATATTAATAAAACATAATGGGGTCATTTCAGATTGAGAAAGAAAAACAGGCAAAATAGAAGCAGTCATGTTCTTCTATAACAATGGTTTATGGTATCCATATTGGCTTTGCAAATCAGGAAACTAAATGTTTTCATTAAACCCAGAATTAATTGAATTTTTTGTAAGTAGACTCATACCAGATAAACTTACCCGAGACTACTGCTTGAGCCATATATTAATCCTTTAATTTCCAGAGTGAGCTCTCTTTCTGATAGCTGGAAATTGCATATCCACTTTCAGAGCACCCTGATGAATAGTTCTACTGACAGATCTTAGGCTCACTACCTCTTCCTCAGTGACTACAGGTCTCTGGTGATTGATTACAACAACATTATCCCTCAGATATATTGTCTCCTGTGGGCCATGCATGGAAAACACAGTTGTTTATTGTGTTCTTTTTTATTTATTTAGTACAGGGACTATAGGGTCTCACTACATAGATCAGGATCATAGTGATCCTCCTGTTTTCAGTCTCCCAAGCACTGGGATTACAAGCATGTGCCACCACACCAAGTCTCTGTGTTCTTATTTTTGACAAGATTTATAAGCCATTTTTTTCTTTTCTCCTAATACAAGGCAATGAAATTAGCTAGGAGTTAATCTTCAATACTGTTTTCCTGAAACTTTTTCCTAGTCATCTTGCTTGGAATTTGAGTATTCCTCAATTTGGGTATTCCTGGTATTCCTCTCAATCACCCAGGTCAAGTGACATAAGGCATTTTACATCTACAGACATCTGATCTTTGTTGAATAACTGCCATTGTTAATTTCATTCTATATGGAAGATATAGGGTTAGCTTGATGATAATTTCCCAAAACTAACTAGATCATGACCATTGGCAGGTAAAAGGATAAGAAGAGGGAAGTATGATGGACAGCAAACTGAAAGGGAAATTGCTAATGTAAGAGTATAAGAATCTTATTTATTTACTTGCTTGTTTGTGAGGACCTGAGGTTGAATCCAAAACTTTCACACTAAGCTACAGTCCCAGACCTGTTTTTTGTTTTTATTTTGAGACAGAATCTTGTCAAGTAGCTGAGTTATCAAGCTGTACTTGAATTTGTCATTCTTCTTCCTAGGCCTCCCAGAGTGCTGGAATGATGGGTGTGTGCCATGGCACCCAGCTGAGAGGCTATATAGTGTATATAAGTGATGAAAAAAAACCCTGCGTGCTATAAGCTGAGAAATTCATTCATTCATCCATTCAACCATTCATTCACTCATACCATTAAGCATATGCTATGTCTAGGTGCTACTTTAGGTTTAGAAATGAGCCAGACAGCTTGGGCCCTGGCCATATGGAGTTTTTACTTAAAGGGATATCAGCAAATATGAGCATAAAAATATTTATATGACTGCAAAGAAAAAAAAGAATAGTGTTTTGCCTCAGAAAATCATGGAGTCAGATTGGGTACTTGAGTAGTTTGACTGGCCAGAGGAAGCTGGCCTATGAAAGATAGGGGGAGATTATTGCATGGTGTGGGGCCAGTATGTAAGAAGGCCCTGTGGTGGCAGGAGCAGATGAGGATTAAGCCAGCACAAAAGAGTGTGTGGAGAATGGGATAGGTCTGAGACTAAAGAAGTGGGCAACTCCTTGAGGCCCCATGAGAGCTGGGTCTACCCTGATGTTAAATAGGGGAGTGGAATCTCCAAGTTATAACTTAGAGAAGGATTAAAGTTGGGAAAATCTTACAGGAATTTCATTGATGCTCTCTACATTAGGGTCATGGTGGTAATAAAGAGAAAGGGTTGGTCAGAATAAAAAAAACCTGTAAGCATAGTGTTTTCATTCTAAGGAGACTTTAAACAGCACTTTGTACTAGTTTTAAATTTTTAAATGGTGATCCTGATTTTCTAAATGAAAATTAGTCAGATGTGGTAGTATATACCTATAAGGCTAGCACTCTGGGAGGCTGAGGCAGAAGGATCACAAGTTCAAATCCAGGTTGGGCAGCTTAGTCACTTAGCTACACATGATCTCAAAATTAAGGAAAAAATAGGGTTGGGGATGGATCTCAGTGATTGCCCAGCAAAGAGAGAGAGAGAGAGAGAGAGAGAGAGAGAGAGAGAGAGAGAGAGAGAGAGAAAATAAAAAAATGCCTGAAAGATAGTTAGCATTCCATCTCTGCAGCTTTCCTCCTCCTCTGTCCCTACCATGCCATAATTCTGCCAACACCTTTGGGATCATGTGCCCCAAACCACAACTCAGGAACCTTTGATACAATGTAACCCCATATATTACAGTTGATGGTCTAGAGTATGGAGCTCTTTGTGTATTAGAGGAAAGGAAAACCATGTAAAAGTCAAGATAACTGTTCACATGACAGTGCAATAGCAAAAGAAGCCAGGAACCTGGGATGAATGCATTGGTAGCAAAACTCCATCATGCAAATGTGAATGTGCTAGGTTTTCAGGGTAAAGGAATGAAGAATCAATCTCAGGAAAAGGGAAATGCTTTCAGATTTCTAAAGGGGAAGAATACTCCTGTTGTTCACTTTAATTTATAGAGCTACTGTCACAGTAATGCTGTGTAAAACCCACAAAATCCAAGGGGCACAGGGACATGTGTCCAATTACTGCATGAGTGTGGATCAACTGGGAAATGCTGATGCAGATCTGGCTTGGCTGGGTGGCTGTGCGTCTGTTGGCACTGCTGCCTAGCTGCACCCTGCTGCTGACTGGACTTGGTTCTGCTCCAGTGTCTTTCCCTTCACATGACTGAGGAAACCACAGAAAGCACAGAGCCTATCAAAATGTTAGAGTAGAACAGGCAAGCAAGCAAAACTTTTCTGCCTATATCCCACTGGCTGAAGCATGTGATCCAGTTCAAAAAGACACTTCAGTTACGTGGTGAAGGGCATGAGTGAGAAGTTAATGATGGGAACCATAAATTCAGTTTACTGTGATAAAACTCTCAGTTCACCTCTATAGCAGTTCCCTTCTCCATAAATGTTAACTCCCTTTGGAGAACTCTCTTTTAGTTTCTGTAGTGCTTCAGTATCTGTTTGATATGTCTACCTTATTGACTTACCTTATATTTTTTTTCTCTCAAGACTTATCAACATGAGAATTCTCCAACTTGCAATGAAATGAATATTGCAAGATTACCTTTGGAATTAAAATACAGTCTCTCTCTCTCTCTCTCTCTCTCTCTCTCTCTCTCTCTCTCTCTGTCTTTCTGAAATAGGATTTCTTATACAGTTCAGTATGGCTTTGATCTCACTTTGTAGCCCAGGTGATCTCCTGACTCTGCCTCTGAACTGCTTAGTGCCTCTAGAGAACAGGACTGTTCTTGTAACATTTAACTCAGTGTATCCCAGTAAGAGGCCACTTAGGACAGAAGATATTTATTAGTAATTAAATTCATTTATTATGCACCTCTCACTGGTTTTATTAACTCATAATAGCTCTACCGTTCTTTTTAAGGTTTGTACCCATTGAATTCTCCTAACATGTCCTCGTAAGTCTGGAAAATTGAAAACATAGAGTGGAGTTTAAAGTGATTTGGGGCTACACCATTTTCTGGTTATCCACTGAAGATACCATTTGAATTCACATGTTTGGAATACTGCTAAATTCTATTTACTTATATTTCCTTTGTCATTAAAACATTTCTGTGTCCTGCACTGAATGGTCTATATGTTGAACAACTTTATATTTCTTTATTTTAATGTAAAAATATTTTATTTATTTATTTATTTATTTGGTACAGGGTTTCACAATGCACCTCAGACTTATAGGGGTCCTCCTGTCTCAGACTCCCCATCACTAGGATTACAGGCATGCACCACCACACCTGCCATGGTGGGCCTGTGCTTCCGGAATCATGCTATACTGGGGATTGAACTAAGGTCCTTGTGCTTTCCTGGCAGGTGCTTAGACCTCTGAGCTATCTCCCCAGCCTTTTTTACATTTTGTATCTCAGTTGTTTATGGAAACTTGCCTTTGAAAGAACACCAGTCATTTTTAGGCAGTTTTTATAATTAATGCTTTCTTTAGAGATATAGGAGTCCATAGAGAATTACCATATATTAAAACTCCTGAGAAGTAAACTGATTAATATTCAAAACTAATATTTAATATACAGTGGTTTTTTTTTGTGGTACTGGGGATTGAACTCAGGACCCTGCACTTGCCAGGCAAGCACTTATTCTACCTAGCTAACTCCCCAGCCCCAATACACAGTAATTTTAACAAGTATAAATTCCTTCTTCAAAATCCTATTACATTTTAAAATAATTGTTGTGATCATAATTGTTTCAAAAATTGTAATGTTTTCTAACATTAAAATTGGGCAAATAGTATTATCTAAACCATCTCCTTTATTAATTTATATCTGATGCAAATACTCCCTTTCCTACTATTCCAAACCATATTTGCTAAAAAGAATTAAAGAATAATTGTCATTTTTGAATATAGATGACATAGTTAAAGCATGCAAAGTGGTTAATGTTCATCAGTTATCTCTACATAAGTTGCTGCTGTGATAACACCATTTCTCTTAATTTCAGATATTGTTTGTTGAAGTACTGTGTCATTTAAATTTTAATGCTTTAGTTACTTTTTCTTTACTTCTGGGACAAAATATCTGACACCTGAAGTTAGAGAAGGAAAGGTTTACTTAGCTCACAGTTTATGTA